GCTCTCCCGCCGGCTCGGGGCAGGCTGCGCCGCCGGGGCGGAAAGGGGCAGCCCGCACTGAGGAAAAAAAAAAAAAAAAACAAACCAAAAACCCACAACAACAACAACAAAAAAGCTGCAGCGGGAGCTCCTGCTCCCCATCTCTCCCTCCTGCCCTCCTCAGAGAGCAGCCGGGTCAGCCTCGCCCCGGCAAGCGCAGCCATCCGCCTCGCTCCTCCGCTTCCCCCGGCGACAAGAAGGGCAGAAAAGAAATAATTTATATAAAGCAAGCGGAGGGGTACTTGCACTTTCTCCCCCCCCCCCAAAAAAAAAGCGCTACGAAGACAGAGAAACCAGCATGAGGGGAGGGGCCAACGCTCAGACAGCAAAGACCGAGGTGGTGGTGGTGGGTGTAATTAAGTGTTTCTTGATTTACTGATATAATGGACCTAGAAAGCATAGTTTCATTGATCTGGCATAGTATTGGTGCGCTGGCGGCAAGTGGCAGCACTTAGAAGCTGTACTATAAGAGTAAGGGTGTTAACATGCATATTGTGGCCAAAAAAAACCTCCGAAACCTAAAACAAAAAAAAAATCCCTAACCACCAAGTTCAGAATTCAGCTCATTTTAATATTAAATGCATGTGCAGAATAATGGTGTTAAAGACATGCAAACACATGGAGTAATAGTGCTGGGGCAATTCAAGCATAGCAAAGCAAGTTTCCATTTGGGGCAGTAACTGGCTTTCCCAGCTCATGAAGATATTCCTTAATGCCGGCTCTCCCGCCGAAGGAGAAATACCTTTTTCCCACTATTTTTTGGAGGGGATGAAGACTACATGAGGGAAGAGTTAGAAAGTGCAAAAGTAAACATCCTACAAAGCAATGGGAATTTTTATTTTTGCCAGTAATGACCAGGTTTTACTGAAATTATGGAGGGAAACAATCACTTCTCAATAAAGTTTAAATCTCTCATAACTCAGGTTAGAAAATATGCATTCAGTTTACTTGGCTAGATTTCATTGATCTGCCATTTTCATATTTCCTTTTAATCCCCATAGTGCACATGTTTTTCTCCTCTATTTATAATTTATTCTTATTCTTCTTCATCAGCAAAAGCTGAGTAACTATCCAAATGAGGAGAAAGAGATGAAGAGTATAGTTTCCATGAGGCTGTGCTAATCTGTCTGGTTTACCTATTACTGTCTGTAGTGGTTTGCAGTAGGGTCGCAAATCTAAAACCCTCTAACATGAAACAGTACTTCTGGTTTCCTTTTTAAAGTTTGTTTAAGGACAGACAGCTCTGGGGAGAACAGGGAAACTCAGTACCTCAGTCAATACCATCAGATCCTCCAAGGTAAATAGAAGATCCTAAAAACACTCAAGTTATCCTGATAGAGCAGGGTAAGGATTGGTGTTTGCACCCCAGTCTTCCTCTCCAAAGAAAGCCTTGCCTAGATCGATATTCTCCAAAGCCTACATATTGGGCCCCATGCAGAAGGAGCCCACGTGCGTTGAGGTGGAAGCCCAGTATCTTTATGCTTCTTTTGAACATATGCATACCAGACAGCTCCTTCTCACTGTACCCTCTCAAGAATTGTATGAATGTGCTTATCCAACCGCAGTGTTGGATAAAAAATTCTTTTGCCCAGAATGTAATGTCCTAGAACATAGTGCAAAGCTGACTATGAACCAGAAGGGCTCTTTCACCTGTTCCAACCCACTGTACCTGGCACAGTTATAAAAATTCAAAGGGGAAGAGACCAGAACGTGGGTTGTCTGTGGAATGGAACAGGTAGAACACAAGGAGCCATTTCCTTGTGACAAAATTTGTGCAGACAAATTTCTGGTTACGACTGGGCAGCCAGTCGTAAATTACACATATTTAACTACCTTCTTGCTTGAGCTTTGAATGTATTTGTTTTATAGAAGGAGGAAAAAAACCTTCCCATTTATAGTGAAATGGAACCTGAGTAAGCAAATACGATTTTCTGAAACTACATATCTAAGGATCCATTGAAGAGGCAAAATTAAGCAGGTAGAAAAAATAATCCTGACTTTAAATAGCATGCACCTTAAAACGTCTGCAGCATGATAACTTTGATCTGTTATAAAGGTAATAATATCCAATGTTTAAGCTTTTGGGGTTCATAGTAAAAATAAAGTAAAAAATTCAAACAAATTAGAAAGAAGGACTCCCAACACTCCCAAGACTATGCCTTTGCCCTGTCCCCCACCCCCCCAAGCCAGGCTGATAACTTTTCTTTACCCTTGAATATCGGGAAAGAGGTTCTTGGGAAGGTACCAGATTCATCGTTACCTTGACCCTTTCAGATCTGTTTTGCATTAGGTATCTGCCATAAACCAAAATGTTTAGCCTATGTGCTAGGAACAAAGAAGACAGACGAATCATAGCATGCTGCCCTTCTTTTCAATGAGTAGAGTAACAAATCTCTGAGGAGGCCAGAGAGCTGAAGATAATAAAGAAACATAACAGATAGCTTTAATAAACTAAAAATAGTGAGCCCAATGTATCTTTGAGTGTACACAGAGCTTCCTGTCTTTCAGATGAGCTCTATCATTGCCTTCTTCTGCAAACAGTACCTCAGGGACAAGAGCTGTTATGTGCTGCAGCGTTTAATACACACCAACCTCCTTTCACAGGCCTGTTTTCCATGGCCTTGTGTCTTGCCTAGTCATTTGTATTTGCAGAAAGTGAGTACAAGAGTACTAACTTCTGTCAGTGGCAGCAAGGAAGCCCTGACAGACAGGACATCTCCATGACATGGAAGCTTCACTTCCACCACAAAGTCCTTGGGTGCCTTTGGATAGATTATTTAATCCCTGCTTGGCGTTAATTTTAACTCATTTTAACTTTAATGTATGTCTTTTACCTATAGGCAATACTGCAGTGATTTTGAGGCTCTTGAGTGTAGATCTGAGAAAAATCAAGCACCGAGATTTCTTTGTCTTGGCAGCAGCCTCCACCAATTTTTGGTAAGCATAAATGGTGACGTGTTAGGAAGCAAAGAAGCAAATTCTGAAAAAGGTTTTTTTCAGAGATGATGACAACAATGGTTAAAAAATATAGTGAAAGATTAGGGAGATCTTGTTTTCCTCTTGTTTTGTGGGGCCTTTTATCACTTCAGTGAAAAAGTCAGAGTTTGAATCTCTTATTCTATCCTGTTGGAAAAAGCAAGTGCTCAGCTCAGCAGTTCTATAATCTGAGGCCCATTAGGAGATGCAAAGATGTAGCAATCCCACTAGGATTTAAGTTCCTACTTTGCTAGAGCTAAAAGACAGAGCTGCCACTTCCATATTAAAACACTTCGTCCCTGAAGCATGCTTACTGAACCATCAGTATTCACATCTAGTTCTTTCTCTCTTGCCAAGGAGCACCTTTGGTACCACAGCAAATAGAAGACAAATTCCATTCCTGCAATACAGAGAGATTTCTATTATTCTTAAACCTATTGTTCATGGAAAGCATTTTTAAGAGCACCTCTGTAGATTCCTGACATCGAACGTGATAATAATCCTACGCTTCAAATGCTCTGATACAGTAAAGTTTAACACCTCTGAGAATACTACAGAAAGAAAAATTGCTGAGAAGCCCATCAACATCCAGACCACTCTCAGCACACCAGTAATGTCCAACATTTCCAACCTGAGAGCAAACATTTAACAAGAAGGTCTTATGGACTACAAACACAGCCACTGCTCTCCTATCCTGCCCAGTTAACAATTCCTTTATGAAATAAGAGGCGCTGTGTAATGAAAAGCAGAAAGGGCAGGACAAGGAAACCAGAAAGATGTATTGGTCAGTATGGTAGAAAGCAACCTCTTCTGTGCCGCCACTGCCTAACCGGGGACAAACATCAGGTGGAGGCAGGGGAGTTTTCTCATGATACCCCACCTGTTTTTCCCCATGTACATCAACAGATGTGAGAAGAAAGACACATCTTCTTCACAGGGCAGCTATGGAGCAGCTTTGCCAAGGCTTCCTTGCTCTTAGAGCACCTTTCCTCCTTCCCTAAGGCCTTGCACTGCCCAGTGGGGTAGCAAATACCGGAGAAAATAGAGCCACCCTTGTGACCCTTTGCTTGCAGTGCTCATCATGGGAGCACTATAGAGACATGCTGAAGCAGAGGTAGTAGCTCTTCATAACACACTTTGGCCATCTCCTAGGTTTGTGGAGGAAATGGCAGGATGGCAACAGAAAAAGAAATTCAGAAGCTCTTATTTAAAAGTCAGAGCTAACAAAGCATTTCACAGGTATAGTCAAGAAGTATCGGCCATCTTACTACCCAGTCACTTTGCAGGTCTGTAAGCTAAACAATATTGAAGAGTACATCAATGAACAGAAGCCTACATTCATAACAGCAAGAGCATTTTTTTCAACACACTCAGATTTACATTTATTTACCTTTATTTTGTGTCATTTCTTGCAAAAAATCAGAGAATGGAAAGACAAGTACATGTTACAAAGTTTGGATAAACTATGCTTAATTTTATGCCGGCCATAACATCTTAATGGACTCAGATTTTCTTGAAGCTTAACTCAACTGATAATTAATTTATAAAATTTCTTCACTGCTCTTGCATCGTTTTTATTTACGGCATGCCTGAGGTAGCTTTTTCTGCTGTTATCATTCCTAAGGTATTTCACAC